AGATCTAAAACTCATCAAAACCAGTTCAGAGACCAAACAAACCCAACAGAGAAAAGGGGATTTCTGATCTGGCAGGTCAAGAGGGTCCTGGGACCTCCAAGTGTAACAAATACTAAACAGTCCCGACTAAACATCTTCCCATGGGGGGAGTAGTTCTTCAATGTCCAGCAACCCTCCTATTCCCCCCTCACATCCACATCCTATTATTGTGTGACCAATACCATCCAAATCATTCTTACTTTCATTTCCCAAAGTTATCCGTCTACAAGGAGACCTGTATAGATCACATGATGGCACCAATGAGGATGGAGGAGGACCGGAGTCACATGACTGAGAAGATACTAAACCTCACCCTGGAGATCATCTACCTGCTGACCGGAGAGGTGAGGAGGATTCTGGGAGGTCACATGACATCACTGTTATCTCTATTAATAAAACACAGACCTGACCGGAGAGGTGAGGAGGATTCTGGGAGGTCACATGACATCACTCATCTCTATTAATAAAATACGACCTGACCGGAGAGGTGAAGAGGATTCTGGGAGGTCACATGACATCACTCTTATCTCTATTAATGAAACACAGACCTGACCGGAGAGGTGAGGAGGATTCTGGGAGTCTAACATGATATTCCTATTGGTTCCTCATATATAGAGATTTCCTCTTCTGAAGTCAGGTGATCATATGACCATCACAGTGCCTCCATGTGACTCCCTAAACCCTGAGAGACACAACATGCAGAAGATTCTAGAAGTCATCAAGAACATGATGGAGCTGCTGACAGGAGAGGTGAGCGGTGCCGGGAATTCTGGGACATTCTCCAGTAACAGACAAGGGATGTGTCTGGATGGTGACTGTATCATTGTGTGTGTCAGGTTCCTATAAGGTGTCAGGGTGTCACTGTCTATTTCTCCATGGAGGAGTGGGAGTATTTAGAAGGACACAAGGATCTCTACAAGGACGTCATGATGGACAATCAGCCGCCCCTCACATCACCGGGTAAGAGGAGACTTTATTGTAAAGGGAGAGAGCAGTACAGAGGATCCACCTAGATCCCCCATCATCTGATAAACACATAGAAACAATGGATTCAGTCAGTGTGTGTGTTTCCTACAGATGGATCCAGTCATGGGAACCCACCAGAGAGATGTCCCCGTCCTCTGTATTCCCGGGATTCCACACAGGAAGGTCACACCATCCCTCACCATCATCAGGTAGATGATGACAATTATTGGTAGTTGTGATTTATACACAGCATGTTTGTTACAATGAATGTTTTATTATATCTTTCAGAGTGGAATCCTCGGGGATGATAATATTGATGTTAAAGAAGAGTATAAAGAGGAGGATGAGGAGTATGGAGTGAGGGAGGAGTTTTCAGAAGGACACAAGGATATGATGGAGCCACCTAATACCAGGAACCCACCAGAGAGATGTCCCCGTCCTCTGTATTCCCGGGATTCCACACAGGAAGGTCACACCATCCCTCACCATTGCAAGGTTGGTGGGATGGAAAATCTAGAACATGGACTTGTAGGGGTGATAAGTGGATATTTTTATGTGATATTTTCTTGATTTAGAGTGGAGATCCAATCGATATAGAATTTGAGGTGAAAGCAGAAGAAGAAGAGGCGTATGTGAGGGATGATCAGCAGTCTATGGAGGAGGATGGAATAACGGGGACATTTATAGAGGAGGACACTCCTACAGAGATCAGCACAGGTGGGTCATGAACACTAAATCCATTCCTCCACCCATACTGCTCACTGATTGGTCCAGAGTAGGGCGGGACTGGGTGATATCAGCCTGTAATCCCCTGGTCACTTTCCTGAGCTGTGTTCCCCGTCCTGTATTCCTGGATTTCTCTCGGATAATCTTCCTTCTCTGTGCTGCAGACACAATTTATGTATCTAGACTGGATTTATGGAGGTTCTGGGGTTCAGCTGGCAGAAATATGTTCATTTTCACCGTAAATGTTACTAGACCTAGGCACCTGGACATGTTCTTTTGATCTTGTTCCTCATGGTGGTGACATAGCAATTCTCCCAGTATTTGTTACTTGTGTCGGGTGGAGAGATATGTCTGTAGTGTCTCAGACCCAAGTCACTGAGTGCAGTCTCAGGAGATGGGAGGCAGCGGTGTGGGATCTCTGCAACTTGTCTACAGGAAACATTTAATCTTCCACTGATTACTGAATACCAATATTATGAGTCCTGACCCTTACACTGTATAATTTATATTGTACATTACATACTCCTGACCCCTGCACTATATACTCTATGTTGTACATTACATACTCCTGACCCCTGCACTATATACTCTATGTTGTACATTACATACTCCTGACCCCTGCACTATATATACTCTATGTTGTACATTACATACTCCTGACCCCTGCACTATATACTCTATGTTGTACATTACATACTCCTGACCCCTGCACTATATACTCTGTTGTACATTACATACTCCTGACCCCTGCACTATACAGTTGCAAGAAAAAGTATGTGAACCCCTTGGAATTACATGGAATTTTGCATGAAATGGGCATAAAATGTGCTCTGAACGTCATCTAAGTCACAACAATAGAAGAACACAGTCTGCTGAACATAATACTACACAAACATTAGATGTTGCCATGGTTTAATTGCACATAACATGTAAACATTCATAGTGCAGGGAGGAAAAAGTATGTGAGGCCCTAGCCTAAAGACTTCTCCCAGAGCTAATTGGAGCCAGGAGTGAGCCAACCTTGACTCCAATCAGTGTGATGATATTGGATGTGTTGCTGACAGCTGTCCTGCCCTTAAAAAACACACACCTGTTTTGGGTTTACTGGTTTCAAGAAGCACTGTCTGATGTGAACCATGCCTCGCAGAAAAGAGCTCTCAGAAGACCTACAATCAAGAATTGTTGACTTGCATGAAGCTGGAAAGGGTACAAAGTATCTCCAAAAGCCTTGATGTTCATGTGTCCACGGTAAGACAGACTGTCTACAAATGGAGAAAGTTTAGCACTGTTGCTACTCTCCCTAGGCGTGGTCGTCCTGTAAAAATGACTGCAAGAGCACAGCTCAGAATGCTGCATGAGTTAAAGAAGAATCCCAGAGTGTCAGCTAAAGACCTGCAGAAATCTCTGGCACATGCTAACATTTTTGTTGACACATCTACAATAAGGAAAACATTAAACAAGAATGGAGTACATGGGAGGACACCACGGAGGAAGCCATTGCTGTCCAAAAAGAATATTGCAGCACGTTTGAAGTTTGCAAAAGAGCACCTGGATGTTCCACAGCACTACTGGCAAAATATACTGTGGACAGATGAAACCAAGATTGAGTTGTTTGGGAAGAACACACATCACTATATGTGGAGAAAAAAAGGCTCAGCACACCAACATCAAAACCTCATCCCCACTGTAAAACATGGCGGAGGGAGCATCATGGTTTGGGGCTGCTTTGCTGCCTCAGGGCCTGGACGGATTGTTGTCATTGATGGGAAAATGAATTCCAGAGTTTATCAAGACATTTTGCAGGAAAACGTACGACCATCTGTCCGACAACTGGTTGATGCAACAGGACAGTGACCCAAAGCATACAAGTAATTCAACAAAACAATGGCTGCAACAGCACAGAATACACCTTCTGGAGTGGCCCAGTCAGAGTCCTGACCTCAACCCGATTGAAATGCTGTGGCATGACCTTAAGAGAGCGATTCACACCAGACATCCCAAGAATATTGCTACACTGAAACAGTTTTGTGAAGAGGAGTGGTCCAAAATTACTCCAGATCGTTGTGCAGGTCTGATCTGCAACTATAGGAAATGTTTGGTTGAGGTTATTGCTGCCAAAGGAGGGTCAACCAGTTATTAAGTCCAAAGGTTCACATACTTTTTCCTCCCTGCACTGTGAATGTTTACATGTTATGTGCAAATTAAACCATGGCAACATCTAATGTTTGTGTAGTATTATGTTCAGCAGACTGTGTTCTTCTATTGTTGTGACTTAGATGATGTTCAGAGCACATTTTATGCCCAATTCATGCAAAACTCTATGTAATCCCAAGGGGTTCACATACTTTTTCTTGCAACTGTATACTCTATGTTGTACATTACATCATTCTGATATTGTACAGTCCGAACTTTTGTATCCTGTATAATAAGTTGTACATTACATCGGCCTTACTTCTTTCACTCCCATTTTCTACCAGCTGGACATTTTATATCAGATGATGTGATTGGAGCACAGACTTTTACATGGTGATACTAATGTGATAACATCCTCCAACTTTGGACCCTTAAACAGAAAGTGATAATGAGGGAGGAGTCAATACCCCAATGATGGTGGTCTTTAGGATCAGTCCAGTCTTCATCTTGGTTGTTCTCCCCCCATCCTCACTCTCTGACCTCTGGTGGGGCTCAGCCCCGCTGTTCTTCATGACTAAATCATGGACTAAATAAGGAAGTGCAGTACTTCTTGTGTTGGGAAGATGGTGATGAGTGATAGAGGGGGTGGGGACCCTCGTCCTATAATCCCCTCATCACTGTCCCTCCTATAAAAGACAGTTCTGGTTGTTTCCTCACTCTCTGACTAAGGTCCATGAATAAAGAAATGACCTGGTAGGAGATCAGAGGAGCCATTTCCTAGTTCCCTTGAGGGTGGAATTGTAAGCTCCTCAGAGACCAAGCTGCCTGATGTGGGCGGAGTCCTGGTTTGGGGGAACCAATCAGCTCCTGTCTAGTAATCCTCTTTGTCTTTGTATTTTAGTCCATGGCCGGGAGATGAGGAAAACCTCCGAGGATTGTCTCACTTTGTCTCCAGACTGGAAAGTAGAAGATGAGGACATCACACAGTATAGTCCAGGAGAAAACCCGGCTCCCTCCAATGTCCATCCGGCACCACCCAGTGTAGATGGACCATCGGATTCCTCGTATCCTGAGGATCCTCAGACTGTGCGGGACCGGGCCGGCCTTCCAACAGGGAAGAGATTCTCCTGTACTGAGTGCGGGAAGGGTTTCCATTATAAATCCCATCTTAATTTGCATATAAAATCTCACACAGGGGAGAAGCCACATTCCTGTCCTGAGTGTGGGAAATGTTTTTCAGCTAGGTCCAGTCTGTACAAACATCTGAGATCTCACACAGGAGAGAAGCCATATTTCTGTTCTGAATGTGGGAAATGTTTTTCAGATAAGTCTAACCTTTATCATCATAAGAGATTGCACATGGGGAAGAAGCTGTATTCCTGTTCTCAGTGTGGGAAATGTTTTATAGAAAAATCAAAACTTGTTGGACATCAGAAGTCTCATGCGGTTGAAAAGCCATATTCCTGTCCTGAGTGCGGGAAATCTTTTTCAAGGAAGGCTAATCTTTACACACATCAGAGATCTCACACAGGTGAAAAGCCGTTTTTCTGTCCTGAGTGCGGGAAAAGTTTTTCACATAAATCCAATCTGTACGCACATCACAGATTACACACGGGGGGAGAAGCCATATTCCTGTCCTGAGTGTGGGAAATGGTTTTCAAAGAAGTCCCATCTTTACATACATCAGAGCTCTCACATGGGGGAAAAGCCATATTGCTGCCCTGAATGCGGGAAAAGTTTTTCACAAAAATCTAGTCTGTACAAACATCAGAGATCTCACACAGGGGAGAAGCCATATTCCTGTTCTAAGTGTGGGAAATGTTTTGTAGAAAAATCAAAACTTGTCGGACATCAGAAGTCTCATGCGGTTGAAAAGCCATATTCCTGTCCTCTGTGTGGGAAAATTTTTTCAAGGAAGGCTAATCTTTACACACATCAGAGATCTCATACAGGTGAAAAGCCACACTCCTGTTCTGAGTGCGGGAAAAGTTTTTCACATAAATTTAATCTTTACACACATCAGAGATTGCACACGGGGGAGAAGCCTTATTCCTGCCTTGAGTGCGGGAAATGTTTTTCAAGGAAGTCCCAACTTTACATTGTTGTGGGCTTTTGAATCATGTCTCAAGAATATGACTTTTATCAAGACATAATATTATATGGCAAACAGCTCAGCAATAGCCGGATGCTAAGAGTTAATTTTGTCTTGGTTGAACCATCTAGCTAGAGAAATGTAATGGGTAAAGGGATTGTTTTTCTTTCCTCCTAGAGACAATACTATTTTAAAGTTCTACAGGTGATCAAACACACCATTATTCAGACTTCAATAAGCAGGTAAACATATACAAGGTCTGGACATGACAATAGAGGAACCAAACTGATTGTCTGAGAACTTACCCAAACCTTGTAGAGTGTGATGAACCAACAGACCTCTGAAACTATTACTATCTACTATTGTTCACCAAGGGTGAAAGCATTAACAATTGTTTACTATGAGTCCGATACAAGGGCTAGGCAAACAGAGATTTTTTCCCTACAACAGAGGAAATGTTGATGCTGAAACCAAGGGGTGAAATTCAGGACATTTAAGTTTAAAAGTTCACTGTATATCATTACAAAAATGTACTACAAAAACAGATTATGAATAAGATGTCATAGACTTTAAACACCACTAAATACTCAGCAATGGGAACTATATATCACTAACTTGAGTATTGAGATGATGGGAAGTAAGATGTATTATAAACTAGCATTAGTTACATGTCTTATCAAGAAACAAACAGGATGATACTTCAAGGAGGAATAACCTAATATACACCTATATTCCATGGTCCCTATTTAGAATAATATAGGTATATCTGCTATATCTGGAAAGAGCCGTATATTTTATTCCTGAAATTACCTGAAGATTTCACCCAAGGTATGAGTCATCTCAAGTGCTCACATTGTTCTGTGATACATGACCGCCACCTGGCGGGCAGGTGAGAAATAGCTTATGTACACACATTTCTCAACTAGCCAATCAGGAAGCCTGGTGGGAAGGTATCTTAGAACAATGGACTAGTGGATATAAAAAGCCCATGTGCTGTAACAAAAAAAAACCTGATGAAAAAGAAGAAAACCCTCATAAGACCTCATGGAAAGACCTGACATCTGAAGAAGATCTCTGCTGAAATAACTACTCTTCCATCTTTTCAAACTTCCTAAAACTTTAAACCTCTAAACTTATAACTTCCTACATTCTCCCCTATTGAATCTATCACTTGCCTATATATCAGTCTAAAAGGCGTTCCACTGCCAGCTAAATCCACGGGAGAGTTGCCTAGTCTGACGTCCCGGGTGTGGTGAGATGTTTATTTTGATTTTGTATTAATTATTTCCTCTGTTGTGTAGAATCATAAAATTACCTTAGTGTATTACAACAATATTGGATAGTTAGATATATGTAGTCAGATACTGTGTTACTGTTAAAAAAAAAATTGTTGATTGCCATATTATAAATTTTTCCATATTTCATAATTTATTGAATATTAATAACCAGAGTATCACATATCAAGGGCTTACTTCTTGCAAGCCTATGGCCACGGCGTGTAAGAATATAACCTTTGAGATATTCGAAATTATTAATTATTAATAAATTTAATAAATATCATATCATTTAAATTTGTGATTGATGTAATTAGTTAGAGACATTATTAGTGTGTCTTACATTGGTAGGATATATTTTTGATTGTGTGTACCAATATTCATTTATCACCAGTCTTTTGGTTTTGTGTTAATATATATATAATTTTTGTACATAAATAAATTTTTATATTTATCTATTATAGGCAAATTTTGTGTGTATGGTACGAAATCATATTGGCTAAAAGAATTCAAGGTATAATAATAAGTGGTGATCAAATTATCAAGGTGTCCAAATTATTGGTTTACTAAATATTTGCCGTATTTTAACGGCTGCTGGAGGCACTGTAATATTTCATCTAAGGGAAAGGGACACGCCCTTTATATAAAATAATATATATCCTTACATAAACCACCACAACATAAATTTGGGAGGCGCTGCTGAGATCCATAGAAATCGTACCATAACACAAAACGCACTGGTGATTGTATATTTGTACACGTTATCAAACATATATTTTGTATCAAAATGGCATCCAGTAATCACGGATCCACCTCTTCCAAGCATAACGAGGAAAATATGGCGGCTCAAGGCATTGAGCAGGAAGTTATGAAGCCAGCTCGGAAAGCTGCCGGTGCTTGGCAGAAGTATGTTGAAAATGAAGTAAAAAATTATCTCCGCAAGAAATTGAATTTGGGGGATAGCAATAATGAATTTGTGGATGAAGAGAAAGAGCAGGCCATGGGCACCTTTGAGGACCTGTTTAACCAAAAGGGCCAGGTTGTTGGGTTTTTAATGGCATTTGCTGGAGCAGAAAGTGATAGAGGCCGTGACAGACTTCTCCTAGAAGCTTGGCCCATGTTATGGTTCATGACCGCTGGAGCTGCCCAGCAGACCAGGATGACTCTAAGGGAAGAGTTGTCAGAGGCCCGCCTCTTGTTAGAAAGCAAAAATCAGGACATTGAGTCTTTGAAAGGGAAGCTTGGTCATGCCGGTATTTCGTTTAGACGAATCCGAGAAACATTATGATAGATTGGGTCGGAGACTTTCGAAGTGCTCAGGACCTGTATGAAAGAAACTTTCAGGAATTAAAACAACTTCAAAAGAAGTATCAGGACTTGAAAGATGAGGTGGAGTACTTCAGATCAGAGAGGTTATCTCCTGTCAAAATTAAAGTTCACCCAGGGGATAAGCATGACCAGTCAGAACTTACCTTGATAAAATCTGAGCAGAAAACTCTGGAGGAGCAGATTATAAGGTTGACGGCCCAAATAAATTCTGGGGTCCAAAGACGGACCAACCCAGTCAAGCCAGAGGCTGATGAGCGGAGATACCCGCATCACAGCGAAGTATCTGATAGTGAGTCAGGGTCAGAATATAGGTCACCTCCTAAGCTTTCAAGATACACTCCAGAGCGCTCTGAAGAAAGATATGAGGTTTCATATAGGCAGGAAGGGAAATCCCAGGGGTCATTCAGGAGATATGACACCCCAAAGGTCATTAAGTTCCTAAAGGACACTGTTCCTATGTTTTCTAAGAAAGGGTCCCTTGAAATCACCGAACACATGAAAACATATGAACAGACGTTAGAGATTCTGGGCATTAGAGATGACCACACCAAAATAGAATTGCTGCCATGGGTGTTTGAGGAGAAATATACCGGCAATTCTTTGAGACCTTGAGGGCCTATTCCAATCAGTCCTGGAGAGAGGTTTAAACATAAGTGTGCCACATGGAATTTGGGCCTTATAAAACTGTAACCTCTGCCAAGGCTGCGGCCTACAATTTAAAGTGTGGTCCTCACCAAAGCCCTGCAGAATTTCTGGCTGTCCTCAGAAATGCCTATTTCCTGGCTGAAAAGGATCCCAATCCTAACCAGCCAGAATTCAAGACACTATTCTATGAAGCATTACCTGCTTACATAAAATTGGGACTTGCAAAGGATTACAGAAAGGGATGCTCTCTTGATTGGTTGGTGAGAGAGAGTGACTATTTATTCTCGATCCAACAGTCCAGTGAGGGCGGGATAAAAAGAGAACCTAAAAATAGCCCCAAGATAGTAGCAGCCACTACCGTTTCCCTCCAAATCCAAATGTGCAGGCAGAGAAGAAATCATATGCGGAAGTAGTCCGTGGGGGTAAAACCAATGGTTCCCCTAGATTTGTACCTCAAGCCCAGCAAGTGAAGGAGGTCCATAACTTTGCACCCCAAAACCAGTGGGTGAGAAAGGATAGACAAAAGCCAGGGAACTACGGTAGTGGAAGTGAGAAGAATAAAAAGTATGGTAAGGGCCAGTACAGTGATGAAAATCAAAGGAGGCAATGGTATCCTCAGAGGTTCTATTATCCTCGCCAAAACCAACATGGGAATTTTTATGGGAACCCCAATTTCAACAGGCCCCATAATTACAATAAGAATCCCAATTTTAATAAAAACTCCGACTTCCAAAGATTTCCTCCACGCCAAGAACACCCTCAAGCTCAAAGGGGGGATACAGTACCCCAGGCTCCCTTTAATAACAGGGAGACCCCAAAACCTCAGAGAGAACAATGGCGTCGGGACCAGAGCAGTAGTTCTGACTCTGAGTCTCATTACCAGTCTCTCGTCCAAAATACAAAGCGCAAGTATAGGAAGAGGGAGAATCAACAGAATGACTCCTCTGAGCGTATTGGACAAATAGAGGCACAGGTCAGCAAAATGGCTGAACAAATGGACAGGCTTGTCACTCAATTTCCATCCAATCCTTTTTTAGGAGCAGCTCCTGTGACCAACCAAGGGTCACAGAATTAACAGGCAACCAAGCCTTAAACCAACAGGGGAGGACACTGAGTCAAATGACAGGAGATGTGTGCCCCGTCCCTGACACGCCTACTAATGGAGAAGCTAGTTCTCAGGCAAAGGGGGGACCATTTGTTGGTTATTAACGATTCTCCTGTTTTTCAGTGTCCATCTATTGCCCCTAATATAGTCGCGGCATCGGAAGTCGTCGGGATTGACAAGCCAGACGGAGCACCAACTTCTAGTTGTGCTTCTGTCTTGAGACAGTCCAAGAATCCCACCAGGGAGGATAAGGGTAATGTGTCCACCACATGCGGTGAGATAAGAGCCAGTCATATGTTATTGAAGGGCCCACAGATCTTCAACCACACTAATTTCATGTGTGAGCTGACTGAATCTGATGGGAGATATTATGCCACGGTGCAGGTGCAGGATGCCAGTGATCTTTCGATTGTCGGCTTAATAGACACTGGATCCCAAGCAACCATCATGTCACAGGAGCATTTTGACAAAGTGGCGAATGTCATGCCCACCAAGCCAAGACTTAAAAGTTTTGACAGCTCATTGATTGGTGTAGGTGGAGACCCTTTACAAGTCATGGGTACCGCCTGGCTTAAACTGAAACTGGGTAATAAGGAACTGAGACACCCCATCATCATTGCTAGCATATCACAGCACCACATGATAATTGGGATGG